CAACCTTCAAAAACGGATATCACTTGACCATTAACGTACACTCGGCATGCGTGTGACGGTGTAAACAGGAAGTGGATTGGTTGCTTAGTTAAAAAGAATATGACAGAGTAATAAGGAAGTATTTAATAATGAAAGGTTGTGTTTGATACTTAAGATCTTCCGCTAAAATATTCCTCTATAAACTCAAACAGACAGTTCGTGGAAAGTTTTTGAAGTTTTATTTTTCAGACTTAAGTGCTGAGGGTCTTGCTCTCTCTCTCTCTCACCTCATATTTACATTAAAATAAATCAACACTTACACACAAAGGTTTACTAGATTATGGGTCCATAAATGTGGTCAACACACGTCTCTCACTCGCTTCCTCGTTGTTGTCTGTTCTCACTCGTAGCTCTGATGGTGGCTTAGCTATCTGTCCTACTGAATAGCATTTACTGCTAACCGTGACTTCAGACGGCCGCTCCGTAGGGCTGATAACGCCGCTGGTCACGCCGCACGCTAATCGCTCCAATAACAGATGCTTCCTCCACAGAAATGCAGACTGCTGCTAGTAAAGACAACAAGGTCAGCAACGCCTGCAATCAGTTGTCCATGTTTAACCTGGTAGTCGATCGGTAATCAATGTTGTTGTTTGTGAGCTTCCGGGTAAGGGTCACGTGATAGACATGTGACGAATCAGGGAAGGATACGTCATGACTGCTAAGAACCAATCAAGTAGCGAACGCGGGTGTGGGCGTCATCGTTTCTGAATGTATCCGTTTTCGACCGTCCACACGAAGAGGCAGCCCCGGAGTTTTTAAACGTATCCGTCTTCGGGAGCGTTTTCAAACTCCTCGATTTTCGGTGCTCGAAATCTCCACGTAGTGTGGACGCTGAGTGTAAATGTAGACGGAGTAATGTGGACATGGCCTCAGGTAAAGGGTCGCTTACAAAGGTGTTGGAATGTAAAGAGGCTGATTAGATGGCCTTATCGAGCCCTGACTGGAACCAAGCAACCCCCACAACCACACACACACACACATACACACACACACACACACACACACACACACACACACACACTCTAACAGACATACAGCAAACAACTCCCTGACCTCTGCTCTTTCCACTCAGTCGCCTCAATTGCTCACCATAATGAGACAAGTTTAGATTGATACCGTCACTAGTAGTCTAATCTAAATGGCACACTTCATGTTATTGCTGAGTTCAGGTTAAAGGATTTAATTTGTTTACATGTCAAAATATTTTCTGAGAAACTATTGACAGAAGTCTTGTATATCTCTATAAACTTAAAGAAGTGTCAACATGCACAAGCAGTCAGTACAATGGAAGTGGTATGTTAGTGTCTTTCACCAAGGACTTGGAAGACCTTTTCCTGATGTTTACTTTTTACAAGGCTGATATTTCAGTTGTGTTCTCCCTGTTAAAAAACCAAACACTTCTGTTGAACCAAACCAAGCATTTGGAAGTCACCATCCTGCCATCATAAGACAAACAAGTACACACACATAGTGCTACCAACATGTGTATATATAGTTAAAAGGAAATATCATCTTGTTGCTTTCTTTTCTTCATTTTTAACGATGCAATAATACGCTGTCTTTGCTGCTTTACATTACATTTGACATTCATTTTGCTGATGCTTTTGTCCAAAGCGACTTACAATGAGTGCATGTCAACAGTATGCATTGTGGTTTTCTTCTCGTAAACAAGGTCTGCAGACGTATGAAAAGTGTGCATAAGGAGTAAAATAAAGTCATGAGCCCTCAAACACTTGCCAATTTCACAGTGGGACAGAGTGAGCCATCACAAACTTATCAGGAGTATGCATCACATTTGTAAATGCGTAAAGGGAAACATTATAACTCGGCCCTGCTCACTTTAAAAGAATGACTTAACAGTATCCCATTTATGTCAATAAACTGACAAGAGGCTGGTGAGAAGGGGGTTTGAATCTCATTGACTGACCCAACACCACTCAAGGAATAAAACCAGAAGTCATCTTGTAGAATTAGATGTACTGTATGACAATACGATGTTCAAAGGAAACTCCGGAGAATGTTCTTACTATTTTGTATTTGCAAATGGAAATATTCAGTCAACGCCAGATGCTAATTTGTCATTAGTCATTCCAAAACTTGACAACGTGGTTTTAAATACACTGGTACATGTATCACATTCTAAAAATCTTGCATTAACTCTGAATTAGTAATTCTGAACCAAACCAAATCAGCACGAATGCTGAGAACGCCATATTTACTACAGAGCTCGAACAAACACACTCGTCTGTTTCATGTGGCTGCCAAGGTTTCAAAAACCCTCCAGTTTCATTATTAATAAAAAGTCTCAAAATGGGATTGAGGATATTGTCACGTTTCAAATCTCAAACAATCTGCATTGCTCTTCGACCTCATCACTTCTTCCTTCCTGGTTTGATAAGTTCTCTTCACAGCGGCCATATTCCTCTCCATGTAGATCTCCCTCAGCTCTGCATCATCAATAACTTCAAAGAAACAAAAGCAGCTAAATTAGGTCCGCCACTTTCTTCTGTCATGACTAATGAGCTCTCCCTTCGTTTGTGTATTAGTCTCGCTCTGCTGTGGCTGTACCCCAGGGAATGGGCCACTGCTGTGTCTTCCCATGAACAGGTAAGCCCAAACAGATGACACGGCAACAGAATGGAAATAGAAACAATAGGGTTCTATTTGAGTTTTGTCTGAGCCACACGCACAGTGTTGTATTAACTTGCAAGCAGATGCATCCATTTACCTCTTTACTGGAACATTCAGCAACTATTTAAAGTTGTGTGTTGGGTTGACTTCATTTTTGTGTCTTTCATAAACATTCTGCTAACCTGTCTTCGACACAAGTAGCAGAAAAATATTGAATTCCAGATTTCACATTTGTGAATCTAAATGTCCTTGTTAAGCTGCTTATATTTAGTACCTGTCAGTATGTTTGTGCACTTACTACAGCATTTATGGCATCACATAGCCACATATAACAGAGAGACAGACAGAAGAAGATAGTGATTCCACTCAATTTAAAACTGAAGAAACTGGAAGATTTAGCTACACTTTAGGACAACCATAGCAAAGTGTATAACAACTCCTTAGGGTTATGAAAGTATCTGTCTGATTGGCAGGATTATCTTCCAGAGCTTTTGGCAGCAGAGATGTGACTGATTTGGCCTATCATTAAATAGTGTGGACCCAGGAATCTCAAAATACACATCGTCACAACGATGAGATCATACACTTGGGGAGAGAGAGAGAGAGAGAGAGAGAGAGAGAGAGAGAGAGAGAGAGAG